TTTTTTTTTTCAAACTCAAACATAAACTCAGAACTTTTTGCAGAATTGTATAAATTTCATAGATGTCTCTCACTGCAAAACGGTGTACCATTCTTGGCAAGTAATTCAGTTTTGCTGAACTAGAAATGATCAAAAAGGTAATTTGTATGAGGAGTCCGAAGTTACAATAACGCTATTAAGTTGGATGATTAGTAGGCTGTTTATAAGAATTATGACCATTTTCCGCGATAGGATATTGCAAGATTACGGTAGGTGTACGGTGAGGGTCAAATTCACTTTGCTTGAAAAAAACAAATCCATTTCCCTCGACAAAATTTTGCATAGCAGTGACATTATTTTTTAAAATATCTTCTCTTTCACTATATCAGTGGTTTCAGGCTTAGCGTTTCAGTGAAGCTTATTGTGCGATATGAGTATGATTTCGTGATCAATATAATAATTAATCTCACTAGACCACTGAAAAATTCCTTGATTTTGGACACCGCAGCTCACACTTACCGCGATTCTACAGTAAGGTCTACCGTGGAGAATGGATATGGATTTCGCAATCAACATATCCGAGCTCCACAAGGTGGTTAATCACCAAGCTTCTTACACTTCAAAAAATTAAGCTACAAACTGAGCTTTTTCCATCCTCTATATTCTCACTTTCAATCGTTTCTGCTTTAACAAAAACAAGATCAACAAATAACTCAAGTCACATTTTGTAGAGGAAATCCTCTTCTTTCAGATGTAATGTGATTGCTTTAGGTTTCTTAAAAATTAGTTGAGTTTGACAGGAAAAAAGTTACGAATTTATTCAACAACATAACGGGAAGAGAATTCTTGAAAGCGCAAGCGGTGCGACAGAGTGCAAATAAAGCAACAGTTGACAGTTCAACCTATGAGGATGAAATGATGCAGAACTTTCGCTGTCCATAGTAAAATCTTCCTATTGAAAAACAAAAGCGAAATCCACAGTTAGAGCGATATCAGCAATCTACTGTGCAAAATATCACTGGAATAACCCTCGTTCCTTTGCCCTAGAGATACTAATTCTTCTTCCAAAAACAAGCCAAAAAGTCTCACAAAAGCTTTCTCCGCTTACATTTCCATTGACCTCCTCCATAAACTATCATTGGTTACCACAACGAATCCAATATTCAACGAGAAGTTGACTTCCTTCTAACAGAAAGAAATAAGTTTAGCGCTTATCAAGCTATTCAGTTTTTGAGGTATATGTGTCTGCGTTTCTGCAAACGGTCCTTCAAAAGGAATAAGTGCTGCCGCTAGGGCAATGTCAGATTTGTAAAGTAGATGTTGTTAGCAATGTGCGTAAATTCGTTATAACTTGCAGTAAGATGCTTATAAATCAAAATTCGGAAGCACGTGATATTTAGAGATATGCAAAAGGCTGGCATTACTTCCCACTAAAAAACTAAGATTGGCGACATACTTTGTAATATATGAAGAGCGATTCTTAAAAGCTACAGGAGTAATCGCAGTAAAGACCAGAATATACTAAGCTAGGAGTAACCTTTATGGTAACTAAGAATAGATACTTGAATTGTCAAAAGGTAAGGAGACTAACAGAAAGCCCGCATCGATCGGATGAAAACAGAAAATCAAAAAAGATCAGATGGGCTAAGAGCTTACCACATTGAAGACAGTTGTCAAGCACCGTCCAACGTAGTAGAATGAGACACCAACGTATTTAAGGCATAGATTATTAAAAGAGATCATAGCAACAAAGACGATAGAGAGAGGCAGCACCTGTAAACAACAAAATTCAGAAATAAGATGTTTAAAAAACACCGTAGATAGCGTACCTCCCTACTTAGCTTTGCGTCGACACTCATCCGAGGAAAATTAATGGTGTTTGGGAAGCTCTTTGATAGGAACGACAATGAAAAGCATAGAAAGACAGTAACCACACATTGGAACCATGTGACAAATAAAGGTGCATTAAGCTAAACTCCAAACTCAAATTAGCGTAAAAAAGGAATATCAAATGGGAGAAAGCAATTACCTTGAGTTCGTCGCTGCTCAGCAAGTATTTATTGAGAAATACGAGACCAATCGAACATGTCCTGAAATGGAAAAATCGTTCATGATATTGATTAAACACAACCGTTGGCATCTTAATTATCGACTCAATTTTGGTTCCAGTAATAATTTCAAAAATATCGCTATTGCTTAGCCTCAAAAGCCAGGAATTCTTAAACTCAATTGAAACAGAAGTAAACTTTAGAAAATAATGAGATATAAAGACGCCTCCCGTTCTTAGTAAATCAAGGACTGGTGAAAACTCTTGAAATGACTTTTTGTTGAATTACTAGAAAAGAAATAAGGGAGTAGGAATGTGCAACTCACCAATAAGCACATACGGCAGCAACAACCTTAATATATCGTTCATATTTGGTTAACTCTCTGTCGTCTGACATACCTTCCTGGAATATAGAAGCGTGAATTGAACTGGGATTTTCATTTGCTACGGAGCAGGCAGATTTTCAAAACAGAAAACTACCGTTTTAATGCGCATTACGACTTATCACACTATTAGAAGTCTTGCCAG